TCAATTTTTTAATTTTATGATTTTTTTTTTAGAAATTTTATAAAATACTCTTCTTCTTCTTCCTCGCCTTAATCCCAGCTACTTGGGGTCGGCCACCCTTATATTAAACTTCCACTTGACAAGATTTTCCACATCTTCTACGCTCACATCAGCTGTCCTCATATCGCATTCAATAACATCTCTCTATCTCTTTTTTGGTCTTCTTCTACCTCTTCTTCCTTCAACATTCATTTCTACAACTGTTCTTACGGCTTTCAATTCTTCTCTCCTCATAATATAACCCAACCATTTAAGTCTACTTTCTCTCATTTTATCCACGATTTACGGTACAACTATACTCCATCTTATATGCTCATTTCTTATCCTATATTCTCTAGTCACTCCACTCATCCATCTAAGCATTCTCATCTCCGTTACACTCATTCTCTGTTCTACTTTCTTATCAACCGCCCAACACTGAATCATACGTCATAGCTGGTCTCACTACAGTCTTGTAGAATTTACCTATCAGCCACATTGAAATTCTTTTATCGCATAACACACCAGACGCTTCTCTCCACTTCAACCATCCGCACTTAATTCTGTATCTTACATCCTCGTCAATACCACCGCTCTTTTGCATAACTGATCCTAAATATTTGAAACTTTCCACCTATCTAATCATGTCCTCGCCTATTGTCACTGGCCTCCTTATTTCACCTATCTCGTGTTCTCCTTTATCAAACTCGTACTCTATATACTCTGTCTTAATCCTACTTATTCTTAAACCCTTTTCTTCAAGAGATGTCAACATCGCCTAATATTTTCCATACTTCTACCGGCACTTCATCTGGTCCTACTGCTTTATTCTTATAAAATAATATACTAATTACTAATTATTGATGTGCATAATTTGGGAGGGATTGAGTTCCTCAAATAATTTTTTGGGTATTTAAGCGTACCCATACTTCTTTTTTAAAGGAATAACACCCGAGGTGGATTGTTACTTAAGCCTACCTATTCTTATAATATTGATTAACTTATATATTTCTGTTAATAAGTCTTATAAAATTAATTAATTTGTTATAAAATTAATGTTTTTTTAGGGGATCTGAAAAGAGAGTACGGGAGTCGAAGCCCCTTACGGTAACGTGGTGGATCTTAAAATGCTAGGAATGTTACTTTTTTCCCAAGTCGAGCACTAATTACTATAAAAACATGTTTGATAAAATTTTTGATGATTTTCATATATCTAAACTTTTAGAAAAATTGGGATAAAATTATGTAAAACGATTTTTTATTTATTTTTAAATAAGGCAACGTTAGTTAGCTTGCCAAAGTTTTTCTTGGCGGCAGCTGCATTAATACAAGATGACCTGATCCTCCAATAAAATATAAAAACGCGTAATGCTTCATTGAGTAAACAGATAGAGCACTTTTATCACTAAAAATATAAAAATTTGTAACTTAATTTATTTTATTTAATGATAATATCCTACTTTTGTCCCCTTTATGTCAAGATAATTCTAGTTTTGCGAATGGATTGTGGTTGAAAACCGGTATTTACTTAGCTTCATAAATGGATATCATGCATAGAAAATGCATGGTATTTTTTATTAAAATTATTGTTGATAAGTCAATACATTTATTTTTAACAGAAAAACGTACAGACGTGAGTTAAAATAACAACAATGTGTCGATATAGCATTATGAAATAACATCAAGGTGAACGATCGTCTACATCTCAACAAGTGTACTTATTATTTATTCCAAGTTAGAAAGATTTTTTTATATTCTGACGTATTATGTTTATAAAAATGAAATAACAGTGTTGACCTCTTTAATATATCATATTTCAATTTTGGCTACATTTATATTAAGTATTTTTCGTAATATTCAGTTAAAAATAATACATTTTGTACACTAGTCAAGAATCCGAACAAAATGATACAGAAATACAAAAGTATAAATTTTATATTATTAAGTAATTAAATTTAGATTTTATGCATTCAACGTATAATATACACATTTAATGCATTAGCGTAATTTTAATTTTATCTATGTGTACTAAAACGGTAGATTTTTTAAAAAATGTATTAATATGTCTATGATTGAAACTAAATTAAGTGAATCATTATAAATAACAAGTAAAATTGTTTTAAGATATGTTACTTTTTTTAATTAATTAAGTTATATTAAAGGCAATTGGTCACAAGTTCAAAATACTGACTTTTCATGAATGCAAAACATTTTTGAAATCAGGCTCATTCAATTTAATGCCAGGCAATTACCCTTGGCAGTATTTATCATTATTAGGTGATTTATTTGAAATACAAGTTGTTGAGCTAAAAATAAATATACAAGGCGACAAAATACTTTGAATCAGCTGTGTTCCTTTCAAAAATTTTGTTAAAGAAATGAGTGAGTATCTATATGATTTTAAAGCAAATCGTAACGGACCTCTGCGGATGGGTAGTAAATAAAAAAATACGACTGCGCCACCACCAGGCGCATGTGGATAAATTAATGTCAGATGAAAACTTCTAACTAAATTTTATATTCTCAAGTTAAATAAGAGAAATTTATAATTCAGAATGTCTAATATATTACTTGTTAATGCATTCACGTAAAAAATATATTATTGTTAATTAAATCTAACATGAATCAATTAATATAAAAATTATATTAAAAACAATAATTTAAAACTAGAAGAATTATAAAAAATCGCGAATACGTATTTTGGATAATTCAAATTCGTAAATCTCCTGTGGCTAAACTATGACACATTATCACTCCATTACAACGATAAAACTAATTAAAAACGTAAATAATTACAAAGAACTTAATGTAAGGGACTTAATAGAAATATATAAAAATAAGAACAATTTAATCAATTGGAATGGTGCCAACTGAAAAATTCTTTAGTAAACTTGTGTAAACTGGGAAAAAGTGATAATATTATTTAATGATAAAGTCACTATGTGATAAGGTTTCTATGGGTTTTCTCAGTGGAGATTGCAGTAGTTTATTAGCGTTGATAATTTTAACATTGTTCCCCAAATACGTATCCACGATTTTTTATTATTTTTTTGTGGATTCTTGTTTTAAATATAATTATAATTTTAAATAATTAGCCCCAAGTGATCAATTTATGTTTTTATAATATGTATGTTACGGCCAAAGCAGGAGACATAACATATTCTAAATACTGGTAATTGGTGGAATACAGTAGAGGAAAAAAAAATCATTATGATACATTAGCAAAATTGAAGTAAATCTTACACGGGAAAAAGACCTTAGGGATATATTAACAATATAGCATATATTTTAAAACCACTAATATTGTTGCAAGAATCTAGTACTGGTTGATATTTATAAAAATTATATATTTTTAAAAGCGTTATATAATCCATATATTATATTCAACTACATTGCCCAACCCAACACAAAGTTGCCAAGCATATTTGCTGATGGAGTCTTAGAGACAAATTTTTAATTTTGAAAAAATAAATCGTAAATGAAATTGGGAAGAATTGGAGATGAAAAGAAACAGAGAATAATTTAACAATATTTTAATACAAAGCTGATATTTGCATATATTTGATACTCCATTCATAAAAATGAAGCATTAAATTTTATCCACAAGTGTTCAATTGGATATATTAATCTTTTTTTTGTAACTTTTGTCTACAAAAAAAAAAATTGATTCGAAACCTACTTACAAATACTATACTGAATATCTAGATATATCTTTATTTTCTCTCACGCAGGTAAGAATTATTTCCTTTTTAAGAGTATATAACCTTGGGTATAAAACCTTTACCTTTTATATCAAATCAATATGAAAATTTCTAATAAAATAATATAATAGAATTTTTCTAAAAAATGTTATTCCGAGGAAAAAAGCGTCCTTTCATTTATTTCATTTATAAGCACCATGAATTAATTAAACTAATTTTTGAATAAATTTTGTTCGGTTTCAAGTCTTGTTAGGTTATATAAATTTGAAGAATAGATTAATTACTAATTTAGGAGCAACTCAATGTTAGTAATTTAAAGAGTGATTGACATCGTTCACTCTTAAAAAATGACAAATTTCATTTTATGAGTATTATTGGTAAATTTATTTGTTTTTGTTAAAATTAAAATTTTTGTTAAATTTAAATAACAAGAAAGAACGTTTTAATTGGTGGCGTAAGTATACACATTTTTAAAATGCACTACTATGTTTTATTTTGTAATAAAACTAATTCTAGTAGGATTTTGATATCAGTAGTTGTCAGGGCAAGTGTTCTGATCGTCCCAAATATATGATTGCCCTAAGCAGCAATGACAGTTAGCAAGACACTGGTAACTGTTTATAGGCAGTTTTTGTATCAACTATAGTTGATAGCGATTTGGCTATTGAAAATGTTAACAATTATTAAAATATATATTTGTTTATTTTTTAGGTATAATCCGTTTCAAATTGAATTGATTGTATTAAAACTGTATAAAATCAAAACAAATACATTGCTTATATGGAATCGTTAAAAAAATAATAGTGAGTACTAAAATTTAAATTATTTTATTTGAATAAGTGTTTGCATGTACACAAATGAAATTTAATAGGATATAAATAAATTTAATTAATGTGTAATACTTTTAAAATGATTAGAAGTTTTTAAATTATTTCAAGTTGAAATATTTAGATAACATTATGACTTATTTATATTTTGTGGTTAATACGTTAAATTTGAAATAGGCGTCCTGTAAAATGAATTCTTATCTCCACGTGTTCATCGTTTAACATTAAAAGAACAGTATTGTTGTAAAAATAATTAACAGAACGCAATGACGCTTAATGTTCATCGAAAATTTGCCGAGTACAATTTAATCGTTGTGATATATTTTTTTGCCGTCTTGTTGTGCCTGTACGAATTGGTTGGCGGGAGCAAGAAAACAGGTCTCCCCGTCAGTGTCTACTGGTTCTCCTTAATATTCTTTAAGCAGGACTACGATCATACTAAACATGCGGTAGGGCACGCGGCGGACTACAACAGTCGAAACCGGTGCTCTTCGGTGAGTGGACGGTGCTGCCGTTGTTTTTCGTTTTTTTACAAAATCGATTAGACAATTTTACCGTTTCCGATACCGCTATAGAGCATAAAAATTATTGGGGTCTAACGCGTTGATGATTTTTTATCTAGTATTCGATTCGTTTTTTTTGAATTATTGAAAGTTGAATTTAACCAACTAATATTAAAGTCAAAATGGAAAACGCAACGACTGACTATTGTACTATGTTTGCCAAGGAAGGGCTGGTGGTTGACGGATACATAGTGTCTCCGAATGAAGTACATAAACGAGCCAGCATCAGCCAAGTAAAAGTTAATATTTGTTAAATAATAACATCAAACACCCTGATAGTGGCCCTGATCCAATTTATGTAAAACGTTTAATAATTGACAACGTATAATAACTGGAACGTTAAATTCCTACTGGTATTATTTGCTTGTGAAATTTCATCGGATAACACGTCGATTACTGTACACGGCAAAAATTAGCGTACACTCTAATGGTATCCCAACGATAGCCAACACCACAATACTTGGGTGGAATCAACGTGTACATAACTGGTACACATGCTCTAATAAAGCGTTTCGTGTTTATTATAGACACAGCCAACCGTTTCATAATATCTGGTGTCCACTTGGTTCGAATGATTGCCTCACAACCGCGAAAACTCGTCGTGTCCTTGAATTTTCGATCAATTTTTTCTCGTGTTTTTTCATTGGACGCATGATCGGCATAAAATATCACTAATACCAATAAAAATATAATTACTGACCAAAGATAAAACATCGAGACAAAATTAATAATGCGGATAATTAATTAGTCGGTTTTATTCAATGCAAATCAACGAAAAAATAATAAACGAGTTGTTAATACAAATGTGTTCAACTTAGTTGAATTCTTGTAATTTTGCAACAAGGTCGTTAACGTTGTTACAAACAATAACATACTGAATATGATTTACAGATTCTTATATTTGACCTCCGTTCGCATTGGATCCCATTACTCCCGTCTGTGTTTATGAACCGCGGTCAGCAGTCTTTTAATTACCGGTTGTCACCCGACAAGAGCTAATGGATGACGATTAATTTTAAGTTTAAATAGCAATTAAAAGAAAATGCCCATAATCGAGTATTCCCACTGATCTAATTTGTTTTTTTTACATTGGACACCAGCGGCAGTCCAATGAGAGTGTATTAGGGAGATTGATGCCCATCCCTTGTATACCTTTTTTTTTTACAAGTTTCTTTATAAAAATTCATATTTTGGAAACTTTACATGATAATTCAATTGAACAGTTATTGAACATAATTAATATGAAAAAATTAATAATTCTACAAATTTGGCACACATTAAATTCTAAGCCATGGTTATTGTTTATACGAAGGTAAATTAAAAGAGGTAATATCGTAAAATAAATTAAATATTTGAAATAGGCTTAATAAGAAAGAAACACATTTATGCATAGCTAATAGGCCTTAATACTATCTTGATATAGTAATGATATTTATCATAAAGGTTTTTCATACTCTCTCATAACAAAATTATTTGACCGGCGCAATTGTTGGGCAAGTCCAACATAAATATTGTAAAAAATATATTTTTTAAACGCAGTTCGATTCGTTTCGTGGTGTTACTTTAATTTTGATACAGAAATAAACAACTATTGAAATGTAGGTCTAGGTTACATTATTAGTTACTACTAAAAATTTACTTTAAATATTACATAAGATTAATTGGATATATAATATCACGATTCATTAGATTTATAATTTTATTTAAATATACTCACAGTTTTTGATGTGAAGATTTAGTTTTTCAATTAAAATTATTATAATAATCATTTTATTACTCGATGGTTACCTATTTTTTTACCGTGTAAAATACAACCGTTTAAAAGATTACTTATACTGCATATAGTTGCATCGGATATTTCATGTTAACCTTGAACACGTTGAGTATAAACATGATTTGACCTCATTGCTGGAGAAAATTAATGCATTAAAGTATAGTATAACCAGTATTTTGTGATGAAGTTGGAAGAAACACTTGTTGTTATATTCCCAATACATATTCTTATGATGTAATTTTGTTATATTTTTTATAGTATAGATCATTGATAATCATATGTAAATAGTACATGATAACATTTGTCCCCTTACTCATTATTATGTAAAATTAAAACACATTTTTCATAGAACGTTTACGATATTTAAATTAATTCTTTGTGATATGTTGTTCTCCTGTGAGTTAGAACTGATAGTCTTATTTCTGATATATTTTTTAACATACATCACTTTGTGAAAAATTCATAATTTTAAATACTAAATTTGCTCGTAATAAGCATTGGTTATTATAACATTTTTGGAATATTAATATTTTTGTTAGGAATAAATGTAAGTATATAAAGTTTAAATATTATTAAATGTTTTTTAAGCGAATAACACATTTAACGACAGATGAATTTCCAGTAACTACCTTATTACTACTTTTAATATCGGTATAAGATCAATAACCTTTTTCTCCAAACATATTTTTAATTAAAAAAAAATTGTTTATTTATACAAGATCATTTTATATGAAACTGATGTTATTGAAGAATTAAATGAAAGCACGTGGAAAGTATTTCTATATTTGCGACTATAAGATTTATGAAAGCTAAAACTTTAGTGTCGTGGAAATAATTTTTTTTTATTGTAGATCGTTGTTTTTTTAGTAAATTAGTAGTTGGCCACACTGTTTTTTTCGAGATATAAAATAATTTAGTTAATCTTGAATAATGAACTATTTAAATAAAACTACTAAAATTGTTCATTATACCTAATAATACAATAATTTAAATTATTTTTTAATAGAGGTTAAATTTAAACACTAAAAAATAATTAAAAATTAAGAGTTACGTATACGTTTAATAAGTGAGCGTATTTACCATGTTCTACTTTTTGTTTCCTTTTAAATAACACGTTATTGTTAATTTCTTGTTACTGAGGGTCGGATTATTATGTACTACAGAATACTATTGTACATATATGCAAATGTAACCATTACTTATAGTAAACTGCGCATATCAAATTCGGAATTGTTAATATATATAGTGTTCTTAGTTGAATTACATTAACAACATTTAAGAAACATATGATTTAATGTTTATTTTGTAAAAATATGAACTAAAAATCAAAATTAACTAAGTTAGTTAATGTTAAGTAAATTAAGACGTTTAATTTATTATTTTATTAACGTAATATTTATTTTAATTAACATTGTAAACATTTTACTGAAACTAATATATCTGGTGTTTATTACAATATACGAATCCAAATATTTTTAAGAACGTCAACACATCAATGTTTTGAGTTCACAAAAAATGAAAAAAAAAATTACGTATTTCAACTTTTATTTTTTAAGCATGTACGTTTTCAAGGTTTTGTTTGTCTCTTTTGAGATACCCAATTCAGATATATTCAGATATCATAGGTCGATGTTAACACTTCGATAAAACAACACAGAATTATTGTAAATAATTTTAAATTCGGCATTTGATTGCAATTAAACCAATTGGCTTTTAGCGACTTTTGTTAAATTGAATAAATCAAATGTTTACCAAATTTTAATTTTTAACCACAATATTTCAAACCTTAATTCTGTAAATTTATGGATATGCTAAATATTTGATACTATGAATCGAATTTTCGTTAAACTTGAATTTTCATATGCATTAATATTAATAATATGCTAATGTTTTATTTTCTGAGCTTTGTTTATTACACTGAGAAAAAGTTGTATGAGTTAATTGTCAATGAATATTTATATTTTATGTATAGTAAAAATATTGTTGGAATATTATTTTCAAACTATTAAATTTGTTAGTATATTATTAATTATAACGTAATGTTTTTTTTGTATTCTTCATGTGAGTTTAAACTTGTATTGAGGTTGATGCACATCAATATGATCATTTAATAAACATACGTATTGTAATTTTCAAGTCTATTTGTGTTTTCCTTTTTATAATAAAAGAATTTATAAAAAAATACACATATAAACATCATGAAAACTAATAATAATTCACAATAATTGTTATTAAAGTAAAAAAAAAATAATTTCAATGACAACCGTTTTTTTTTTGTTTTCATTAATTTATAACGTTAGTTCAAATGATTTTTATATACTATTATATATGTTATTTAAATAGAGCCGTTACAACTTTTTTTGTCACCTATTGTTTAAGTTCTGACTTACCCTTGACGAACTGGTTAACCTTTATCTTGCCATATACTGAAAATGACTATTCATGTTCCAATGTCAATGTTAATACGATTCACTTTATATCATCAGTAAGGTTATTTTTCAATTATCACCGATCTATTATCATCAATTTTACTTAACGAATGTGTATTCGATTTTTGAGTTAAACTTTAACTTTATTAAACATAATTTCCTTTTTGCAACGTTTTTGATAAATTTTTATAAGAAATGATGACATAATAAGTAGCTATAAGAATATAGTTTTACTGAGCATTAGGGTAGGTTGTAAGGTTAGATGAAAAAAGATTGCCTATTGAATTGAATAATTATTTGGTTGGTTTTAAAGCCAATATAAAAAGTGGGCCAATTAAATAATAGCTTGGATCCGTTTTTAATTACAGACGACCCTTATTNGATCCGTTTTTAATTACAGACGACCCTTATTAATTATATATTTACTGTACATACTTTAGTATAGCTATTACCATGATTTATTAAACAAGTATTGTTTTATTTGTTCATGCTGGGCAAACATCCCAATGTTAACCATGTACTGAATTTTGATCAAATGAAAAATGTGAATACAGATATTTTTTTGTGACGTAAACTACATAATGCAATAAAATGTGTGAGTACATTGTATTCTAACGAAGGCACGTGGAGTACAACAGTGTTGATGGCAATTTTATTCTGTCAATTTAGTTGAATTGCATTCATTAATAACAAAAGATGATGTTTAATGTGTGTGCATTATGTTATATCCTTATACAATTCTCATAATCTTTATATAATGTCTTTAATGAATAATATCAAAGAGTTTCACACTAGTTTTTCGGTTAGTAATTTGCTTAATGTTAGTGCTGATTTCTATTTTATACGGACATTGTTTATTAGAATTTTTATTTTAGATCAATAACATTGTTCATGAAGAATGTTGTCGTCGTCCATTTAATGTTCCGTCATTATTGTTTTATTCAATGTGAATGTCTTCTCGGCAGATTATACTAATTGATCGTAATAATTTCTATCAATAGTAAACATCCTGATTTCACAAACATTAGTAACATGAAATTTTAATAATCAGTGTTCACATGAATTTTCTATAGTTTGGTTGCGCATGAAGTGTCAATTTTTTCTAACAATAACAATATAATGAGGTGTTAATTGAAATTTCATACTCGCATGTTTGTATCAAGGAAGGATACATTAGTGCTATAAGGAAATTGTCTTGGTTTAGGAAATAATATTAGTTTTATCTATTGAACGTC